TTTCTTTCTTTCTTTCTTTCTTTCTTTCTTTCTTTCTTTCTTTCTTTTTTGGTGAGGCAACTGGAATTAAGTGACTTGCCTAGAGTCACACAGCTAGTAAGTGTTATGTGTCTGAGGCCAGATTTTAACTCAGGTCCTCCTGAGTCCAGGGTTGGTGCTCTATCCACTGCACCACCTAGCTACCCCCATACATGGGCATTTCTGTGTATCCCAACAGTGCCTGGCTCATTTTGCTTGTTGATCAGTGGTTTCAGTCATGTGTAACTCTTTGTGACCCCATTTGGGGTTTTTTTCTGATACTGGAGTGGTTTGCCATTTCCTTCTTCATTTCATCTGACAGATGAGGAAGCTGAACTAACTAGGCTGAACTTTCCCCAAATGTACTATCTTTGAGGGAGGAAATGAATTTTGCCTTCTTGGATTACTGCAATAGCCTTCTAACCCATCTCCCTGACACTCATCTCTTCTCTCCCTCACCCGATACATGCAGATTATTTTTACTAATCAGTTCCATCATAGCATGTGTGGCTAGTGGTGCAGTGGATAGACCAGGCCAAAGGCTCATCTTCCTGAGTTCAAATCTGGCCTCAGATACTTACCACCTACACGATCCTGGGCAACTATCTGCCTCAGTTTCCTCATCTGTAAAATGAGCTGGAGAAGGAAATGGCAAACTACTCCAGTATCTTTGCCAAGAAAACCTCAAATGGGGTCATGAAGAGTCAGACACAACTGAAATGACTGAACAGCAGTGAAAGCCATCATATCATTACTACTACTCAAAAACATTCAGTGGTTCCCATTGCTTAAAATCCAGGCTTCTGAACTTGGCATTTAAAGTCCTCAAAAGTTTCAGCCTAACTTTCTAGCTTTATCCTGCCACTGTTTCCCAATATAAACCATCTGTTCTAGCCAGTCTGGGCTCCTTACTGTCCCTTAAACATTCCAGTTGTATTATTTATTAGGTGTGTTACTTTGAGTATTAACCTCTTTCGTAGATAAAGCAAGATAACTTTATTTTAAGATCCTTCAGGGTTTTTCAAGCTTTAAATCTTGTGATCATCCCAAAAGAATACTAAAAACGTTAGCTATTACAATAAAAAAAGAGAGAGTAATTAAAGGTAAACGTATGAGCAAAAAATAGATAAGACCATACCTCTATTTGTAGAAGACATAATAATTTACTTAGAAAACTCCAGAGAACCAGTGAATAAAATAACCAAAGTGATTCATAGCTTCAATAAAGTAGCCAGACACAAAGTAAATCACTAAAAACCACCAGCATCTATTCAGTACTAACAGAAACCAGGTGCAACCAATAGCGAGAGAAATTCACTGATGTGATTTGACAGAAAATATGTTTAGATCACCATCTTATACCATATATGACATATACTATAATAACTTCCAAAAAGGATAAATGACCTAAACAAAAGGTCACACCATGAAAATTAGAAGAGAAGGAAAAGAGAATTCATGATCAAACAAAGGACTGAGGAAATTACAAAAGACAAAATAGTCAATTTTTGGTAATGTAAACAATTTTAAAGCCCTAATAAAATCAATTTTACTAGAATAAAAAGAAAAACTGGGGGCAGGGGGCAGCTAGGTGGTACAGTGGATAGAGCACCGGCCCTGGAGTCAGAAGGACCTCAGTTCAAATCTGGCCTCAGACACATAACACTACTCTGGGCAAGTCACTTGACCCCAGTTGCCTCACCAAAAAAAAAAAAAAAACCCTGGAAAAGTGGCAGGGAGGGGGTGGTGGAAATCTTTGTATCTCTAGTGTCCAAGCTATATAAGGAATAGACACAAATATATAAACCATTATAGAATAGATAAATGGTCAAAATCTATAAAGAGTTTTCAAAAGTAGTACAAATGATAACGGGGAATGTTCCAAATCACGAGTCATAAGAGAAATGCATGTTTAAACAATTCTGAGGTTTTACCTCACACTTATCAAACTGACAATGGAATAATAAATGAATTTTGGAGGGTTTGGAGCTTCCCACAGATACACTAACACACTGTGGTCCAATCAAATATTCTGCAAACAACTTGGAATTATGCAACAGCAGTCATTAAATTGCCCATACCCTTTGATTCACTAATCCTACTACTGAACATATACCCTAGGAGCACAAGGGCAAAGAGGTCCCTATATACATACCATGATAGTCATAGCTGCACTTTATAGAGAGTCAAAAAAAATGGGAAGAAAGAGAAAAAGAGGGAGGGAGAGAGGGAAGAAAGGAAGAAAGAAAAAAAGAAAGGAAGGAAGGAAGGAAAGAAGAAAGAAAGAAGAAAGGAAGAGAAAGAAAGAGAAAGGAAGAAAGGAAGGAAAAAAGAAAGAAAAAAGAAAGAAGGAAGGAAAAGAAGGAAAGGAAGGAAGAAAGGAAGAAGAAAAGGAAGGAAGGAAGGAAGGAAACACTGTGGGTACCCATCAATTAAGCAATAGCTGAACAAATTGTGACTCCTGTATGTAATAGTGCATTACTGAACTGTAGTAAAGCAAGAATATGAGAAATTCAGAGAAATATGGTATGGTTTGCATGAATTGTTGCAGAACAGAGAAAACAGAACCAGAAGAACCAATATTCACAAGCACTATGATAGTGCAAATAAAAACAACATCAAAAGGCAGCCAAGTTCTGACCAAATAGAATGCTCAATTTTGTTTCCAAACAATAGATAATAAAACATATTTCCTACTTCTCAGTGAAGAGGTGGGGGACTACAGGTACAAAATATTTCACTTGTTATCAGACATGATCCTTGCAGTGGTTAGTTTTGTTTAATTACTTTTCTTCATTACAAGAGAAGGTTCTAATGGGTCAATGGGGAGTAAACTGGGAAATTACTACGAGCTAGGTGGTGCAGCATTGTACTCCAAAGTCAGGAAGACGTAAGTTCAAATTCAGCCTAAGACACTAACTAGATGTGTGACCCAGAGCAAGTCACTTAAACACTATTTACCTCAGTTTCCACATCTGTAAAATTGTATAGAATCTGTAAAATTAATAGTACCTACTTCTCAGAAGTATCTTAAGGATCAAATGAGATAATATGTGTAAAGTGCTTTGCAAACCCTGAAGGGTTCTATAAATGCTATTGTTAATCATAATAATGCCTTTAAATAAATCCTATGATCCTATGCCTTGCCCATTTCCACCTCCATGCTTTGTCTTCTGCCAATCCAAACCCTATCCATTGGCAAACTATACCTTATGAAGTTTTCCAAGACTACTCCTTCACACCATGACCTCTCTGTCCTTTGATTTTCTATACACTGTCCATAGCCCTCATCCCCATCCGTCTTATGGATAGTTGTCTCTGGAATAAGGAGCTTCAGCTCCTAATTACCAAACATGGGACTCCTGTATTCATAAGAAGCTTAGCAGTGGACTAGGTTCTAACTGGAAAGAGATCTGATCTTAAGAGAGATATAGTTGTCTAATTCCACGCTGCCCAATTCAGTCTTGGGAGAAGGGAATAGCTATGGTCCAGGGGAGCTGCTCTCTTGAGACTTCTCAAAGGACACAGAGGATTTCCAAATACAGAGTGTGAAGTGGAGAGAAAAGAAGAAGACAGCCATTTCCAGAGAGAGCCTCAGTTGAGCATAGGCTGAGATCAGACTTACCCATGACCTCGAGCTGGGCATGCATGAAGCTCTCAGCCTCATCTCGCAGGGAGCTGTGGGCCCTCAGTGGCACTGGGAGGAAGCCGTAGACCTCCTTGTTGCAGACAAACATCTGTACTTCTGCAAGCAGCAAAAACCAGAAAAGAAGTCAAAGTGTCTTTGCACTGTAACAACGCGCAAACATTCAAATACCAAGCTGATTAAAAGACCACGGTAGGTGGATGGGAAGGCAAGGGTATTTATGCAAATATGAGATTTTTCTCATTCTATGTATGACCCCTCCTTGGAGTTGAGTCCTGACTAATGTCACATGGATGACCCAAGTCTGTAATAAGACAGGGGATGCTCACCTGCTTGCTTACAGGAGAAAGCAAAGACGATGATGTCATCAAAGGACCAGGTGTAATCAGGATGTGGGGGGTAGAAGGAGAGCTCCCGGGAGGCTTCTTTCCTTAGGTCTATCAGAAAGGTGGAGTGCACCATGGGAACAGCAAAGCAGCCACGGCGATCCCGCCTCCTGATGGGTATGTACGCAGGTGTTCGCTTATAATAGCCCTGGGAGGAAAGACAACTAAGTCCCAGAGTAGAAGGGAGATATACCCAGGGAGCTCCCAAGGGAGATTCAGAGCCCTAGAAGGTGAGTCCAAGAGGATGAGGATCACACACAGCGAAGAGCTGCTTGTGTTTCTGTGCAAAAAAAGTATAAATGCAGAGAAAGCAGGAACTAGTGGGGAATCAATCAACAAGCATTTATTCATAGCTTTATTAATTTACTGATGTGCCAGGTATTGTGCTAAGTGCTAGGTATACAAAGAAAGGCAAAAACAGTTCCTGCCATCAAGGAGCTTACATTTCAGTGGAAAGCAAAAGACAAGACTGTTTGGATCTCAGGAAAGCAAAGGCAGGTCAGACAAACCCTGATATTTTTTAAATGACCAGTTCAGAAGCCAACAGAAATAGGGTCACCAAAACCCTGAATGTGGGCCCCGGAAGGTAACCTTTATGTTCCTCGAAGTTATCACCACACACATTGTATGGAAGTTGTGGTCTGCCTACCTGAGAAGTCATCCCACACCAGAAATTGGAATAGGCAGCTCTGGAGTCCAGCATGGGAGCCACGACTGTCTTATTCTCTGCAATCAGCAGGGACAGAGTGTCTGGGTTTATCAGAAGATTATCTGCATCCAGAAACTAAAAAGCAGAAAAAGCAAGCCAGGGTAGAATTCATATCACGTGACTGAGGCAGCCATCACCCACTGGCTTGTCCAAAGTTCTCAGGATATAACACCCTTCCCCCCACCCCCAGCTGTCTTCCTCCTGCCCTCCAGCCTCTCTCACACTAGCCAGCATAGCAGTCTTTAAGTCCTAGTCAACCCAGGTACTTTTTCACATGGCAAGTTTATTTAATCACATTTTATTGATAGCCTGTGTACTTACATCATCTTCATTTTCAAATACAATATTTTCCCTCCCTTCCCTACCCATTAAGCCATCTCTTATATCAAAAGATTTAAAAAGAGGGGGAAAAGGAACTCAGAAAAACTAACATTTCAACTGGTTCTGACAGTCTAGGTGATGTCATTGATAAAAAATGTCAGACAGCAGAAAGCCAAAGACCTCCTTCCAAGCAGACATCAAACCCCTAATAAGGACACCTTGAATCTGATCAACCATACGGTTATTGACTAACTGTACATAACCATCTAGCCTACATTTCTCCATTTCCTCCACAAGAATAGTATGAGAATCGTTAGCAAATGTTTCACTAAAATCTGGGCAAACTGTATCTACAGGATTCTTTTAATCTACTAGAATATCCCTGTCAAAAAAAAAAACAAAGTTAGTCTGACATGACCTGTTCATGACAAAGCTATGTTAGCTCTTTGTGATCCTGGCTCCCTTCTCTAAGCATTATTTTTTTTAAATAGACATTTCGTCCTTTTCCAATCCTGGCCTAGAAATCACTAGCTACTCTGCTTCGACCTAAGAAGAAAGCCAGCAGATACTCAGAAAATTGAAGTCCCTCATCACTGTAGTATCATGAAAGGCTTGTGATCTGTTTCCCAAACTCCTCCAGCACAAACCAGAGCCATAAAGCTATTCATATTCTTTGGTCTGGAAATTCCTCTCTTGGAGTCCACACTCCAAAATGAAAAAGAAATTTATGCAAAGACATTCCCAGCTGTGCCATTCAAAACTGAATGACAGCCAACACTCCCCTCATTCCCCTGAACAGAGTATTAGGCAAGCAGCACGTTGATGGGGTGGGAAGAGCACTGGACTAGACCTTGGTGTGCTGAAGCCTGGATTGGATGAATGCCTAGCTCCAACACATATTCTCTAGCTGTGTGAGTTGGGCAAGTACCTCCATCTCTCTGAGCCTCAATTTCTTCATCTGCAAAATAAAGATAATAATCCTTGCACTCCTGACCTTAAAGGGATCTGCAAACCTTGAAAGAGAATAGAAATGGGAGCTATTATCACTTTGACTAGGTAGCAGTGAAAAGGGACAAATGGACACTGGCAAGAAAGAAATGTGTCTAAGAAGTGACATGAAGTGTAAAAAGTAGAAGACCAAATGCCATATGCAACAGTGATCATGATTCCATTAACATCATTCCAATAAAGAGAATTGAATGTAGACTTGAATACTTATTTGCTTTTTGGTTTAGGGGTAGTTTCTCAGTTTCATATTTTTTAATGACAATTAGAGGTACTTATGAAAATGAGACAAGGTAGTTAGTGGTTGGGTACTTCAACCTAAGATTTATCTTTGTTGTTGTTCAGTGGTTTCAGTTGTGTCTGACTCTTTGTGACCCCACTGGGATTTTCTTGGCAGAGATACTGAAGTGGTTTGCTTTTTCCTTCTCTAGTTCATTTTACAGATGAGGAAACTGAGGCAGATAGTTGCCCAGGATCATGTAGCTAGTAAGTATCTGAGGCCAGATTTGAACTCAGGTCCTCCTGACTCCAGGCCTAGCGCTCTATCCACTGCGCCACCTAGCTGCCCCAAGATCTCTCTTTAGGTCACAAAACATCAGAATTGACAGGGACCTAAGGGAAAATCTAGACCAAGCTTCTCATTTTACAGAGGACTAAACTGAAACCCAACTGAGTGACATGGCTTATGCAAGGTCACATGGCTAGCCAGTAGCAGAGTTAGGACTCAAGTTCAAACTCAAACTGAAGCTGAGATGATGTCCTCAAAAAGTCTTTGCTGGGTGCTGACACTGACCACCTCAGTCAAGGGCGCTTCTGTATTTACATTCACAGGCCCTGCAAAAACTAGGGAAGTTTGCTATTTTAAGGAGCATTGGGGTGAAGATGGTGGCAGGAGCAGGTGGTGGCAATCCTTTTGCAAAAGGAAAGGAATGAATTTACCTGTTTTATAAATCTAGGTGATCACACACCAAGTCTGCTTAAAGTAAGAACTTGTGATGCCAGCTATTTCTGGTTTCTGCATCCTCCTCTCCTGCACTGTAGTCTTGCTCCTTCCCCTGTAAGACTTGTCTCTCCCAGCCCAAAGGGAGAGAAAGAAAACCCAAGGCCAGAGAAATCCTGGAACATCTATCAACTCCCCAGTGATACATCACTGATCCTTGGGACTCTGTGTGTTAAGTCAAAGCAGGCTTGGATGGTGATGGCACAAGGGGGACCTTTCTAAAAAAAAAATTTAATCTTTATTTTTTTATCAAGTGGGGCCTTTCTGATCATCATGATGATGATTTATGGAGAGGCATGGTGGCATAGTGGATACAGGCATCCTTAGAGTCAAGAAGACCAAAAGTTCAAGTTCAGCCTCTGATGTGACCTGGCTGAGTGGCCCCGGGCAAGTCACTTTAATTCTCTCTCTTAAGACTATAAATGGCAAAGCAAAGAACTGAGCAGCAGAGTGAAGGCTGAGCAGCACTGGAACAGGGAGTTTCTTCCTCTGAGAGTTCTTTATACAAATGAAATCACAGGGCCAGTCCAAAACAAACAAGCAAACAAAACCCTTGACCTTTACAAAGCAACTTCCAAAGGCAACGTGGCATAGAGTGAATGAAGACCTAGCCTCGAAGTCAAGGAGACCAGGGATTCAAGTATAGACTCAGAAGCAGCTGCGTCTGTGATCCTAGGAGAGTCCTTTCAGTTCCCCAGGCAATTCTCTAAGGCTCTCTAAGCCTCTAACCAATGAAATCACAGGGGTCAAGATGCATACTTCATGTTTACAAAGCATATTAACTGATGGAATATTACTATTTTCATTTTATGTAAAGGGAAACTGAGGTTTAGAGACTTGGGTAAGATCACACAGTATGTGTCTGAGGTGGATTTTGATCAGGTTTTGGGGACCCCAAGTTCACCACTCTCGCTGCCCTTTTTGGATCAGCATCAATTCAGCTTTAACTTGTGACATGCTACTTCCTCTTCCCTCATAAACCCAAGGGGATGGGAGGCTGAGATGGGGGGAGGAGGGGAAGAAGGGGAAGGGTAGGAAGCTGTCAGTGGCTCTTACCAGGATGTAGTCTGCCCACATATCCCGAGCTGATTTCAGGGCTGCCTGTCTGAGCTTCATCACATGCTCATAGCGAGAATTGGACCAGTGTTTGGGGCCCTCCTCATCAGGGTAGGACCTGTGGAGAGCCACAATTGCCTAAAAAGTTAGTGCCAGGGCCAGGTTGAACCCCCAGACCAGATAGCAGTCGATCACTTTGGTGGGGCCTGGAAGGGGGGAAACCCAGCTCTGTCTGGGGGCTGCCTCCACTGTTGGCCCTTCCTATCCCTGTCCCCGAATGGGTGTGTTGGCCCCCAGCAGTCCCTACAGGCTGGCTGACAGCTCAGGCCAGCCCAGGACTCCGGAGCCAGCTTCCCGCCTCCAGCACAATCCCTCCCCACTCCTCACCTCGGCTCCTCCATGGGTCGCCACTCCACATAGTGGTACAAACTCTTCACGCCCACCAGCCACTCCCGCAGCACGGCTGAGGTGTTGTCCACGTTGTGGTCCGTGGCCACCCTGCAAAGGAACAGGCACGCAGCGCTCAGGGCCGGGCCGGGCTGGGGAGGGACCCGAGACAAGGGGAGGGGGCAGGGATGGGGATCCTCACCATAGCGCGGTCCGGTCCCGCGGGTGCCGCAGCCTCTCCAGGGCCCCCAGGGTCGAGGGCAGCGCGTGGGCCGCATTCCGGGCGATGAGCGCAATGAGGACCCGCGGCGCCTGCAGGGAAGACTCGGGGCTCCAGCGCTCCTCGGGGAAGTAGGCGGCAGCTCGGCCCGGGCCCCGCAGGAGCAGCGCGGCGGCGGCGCACAGCGCAAGGCCCAGCAGGCGCGGGGCCCGGGGGCCAGAGCTCCGGCTCCGGCTCCCGGCCCAGGCTGTGCCCATGGCGAGAGAACCCTGCCTGTCCCTGACCACCACTGCCTCGCCTTTAAGCCGCCTTTCCGCCCGCCGACCGCCGCGCTCTGCGCACAGCCCAGCCCAGGCCTGCCCAGCCCAGGCCAGTCCCCGCCAGCCCCGCCACGGAGATTCCCGGGAGGCTCTCGGCCCACTCCGTGTGAACCTAGCGCCGGATCCGGCCTTAAAGAGTTGGGCCTCGTGTCCCAATCTCCCAACCGGGACCCTGCCCCGCCCCAGCACCGGTCTCTGGCCTTAAAGGGGTGGGCCCTCCTCCCCAGACCTGCCCCTTCCCCGACCGACACCGCCTGGCCACGGAGCCCAGCCTCGTAGGGATCCGCCCCTTGAGCCTAGACCTGCCGGCCTGGTGAGAGGCTCATTGTGTGTACCAGTACAGGCCCAGGGAGGACACCGGACATGTGCCCTGCATGATTGGGCCCGACAGACAGGACCCCACTACGGACAGAGCGCTGGACCGGTCCTAAGTGGCCCAGTGCCCAGGCTTCCTGCTGCACGTAACGGTTGAATCCAGCAATGCATCTGGGTGCTAGGATTGTGCCTCGCCATCCGAAATGACTTTTAAATGGGGTATTTCATTCCATCAGGAGTCACATAATGTCAGAAGAGGAGAAAGGCAGCCTCTTCACCCTCTGCAAGCACCGAACAGCACCCAGTTAGGTGGGGGAATGCTGCTGACACCAAGCCCCTGTCCCTGCACCTACTCCTCCCCTTACCATCTATGGAGCCTCGAGGGTTGGACTCCAACCCCACCCCTTCTCAGGGACTGAGTTTGGAGACCTCTCACTCTAAAACCCACTGCCACGTGTGATGAAGCTTTAGCTACTCTAACCAACTTCATGTGCTTAACTCATTGTTCCAGAGCTGAAGAGGGCCTGAGGGATATTTTGGAGCGAAGCCCTGTTTTTACAGATACAGAAACAGAGGCCCAGAGAGATTGTTATATAATAGCATTTATATAAGACTTTAATGTTTGCAAAGCATTTCACACATGTTATGTGATTTGATCCTCACAATAACCCTGGAGGTAGGGGCTATTGTTACTCCTATTTTGCAGAAGAGGAGACTGAGGCAGACAGGTTAAGTGACTTGCCCAGGTTTACACAACTAGTAAGTGTAACTTTCGTAAGGTCACACAGGTAATAAATGCTCCCAGCCCTTTATAAGGATTCAGGGGCCAGGGCCAGGAACTCAGATCACAGATCAGATTGGAATTCCATGTGCAGGTACTTTTGCTCTTTGCTGTATTGGAATGATGTCAAGGAAATGTCAAGGAGTATGTGCTTATTTTGGTCCCTGGGAAATCAATCACCAGATATTTACTGATTGATATGTTGTCTCCACCCTCCACTACCTTGTTTGTGGAGAAAGAACAGGCTAATGCTGTTTGTTCTCCATCACTATAGGAACCTGGAGAGTAGGGTCACTAGTCAATTGAAACTTTTCCTATCCAATGACTAGAAAATTTTTACATCCTCCTCCCCTTACACCTGTGATTCAGAGTAGCCATCTGCTGGGGTGAAAAACCTTCTTAAGCTGCTGCTGGTCCCTGTTCTCTCAGGCACATCTAGTTCTTCCCAACCTCTCCGAATTCATCCTTTGCTGTCCTTTTGTTCCCTCTGGTACCTCTGTTCTATGATGAACAAACTCCCTTTCATCCTAAACCCAGACCTCTTCTTACACTCTTTCCAACTTGCTGTACTCAAGGAAACTTAACATCCTCTAGGAGACGCTACATCTGTAGCCCAGTGCTGCATGCTCATCTCATCCCTGCCCCTTACACCAACCCACTGGGCCAAGAAAAGTGTGTGTCGTATTCCTTGCTCCTCACTGCTATTTCCAAGCCTTCTGCATCTATCACTTTGAAACCTCTTCTCTGTAGAGGTTTGCTCCATCTCTATCAGTGATGTTAAGATCTTTCTTGTATAGTTCTTTTGTGTATTTTTGTCACCTCTTCTTAATCTCTCCTGCTTCTGTTAAATCCCTACTAGTTTTGTCTTTCATCAGCCAATTTTCACACGAAACTTTCCCTTGATATCTCTAATTTTCTTGAAGAGATCTCTTGTCTTTCTTATTCTGAACATCAAAAAAACTAAGATCTGGGAGAGCTAGGTGGCACAGTGGATAGAGCACTGACCCTGGAATCAGGAAGACCTGAGTTTAAATCCAGCCTCAGACACTTGACACTTACTAGCTGAGTGACCCTGGGCAAGTCACTTAACTCCACTGCCTAGCAAAATTAAAAAAAAAAAGTAAAATAAAAAAAAACTAAGATCTTGGCAACTGGTCCCATTGCTTCTTGGCAAGCAGAGGCAGAAGAAATGGAAACAGTGTCAGATTTTATATTTTTGGGCTCAAAGATCATTGCAGACGGTGACTGCAGCCATGAAATTAAAAGGCACTTGCTCCTTGAAAGGAAAGCTATGGCAAATCTGGACAGCATATTTAAAAAGCAGAGACATCACCTTGCCAACAAAGGTCCACATAGTCAAAGCTATGGTTTTTCCAGCAGCAATGTATGGCTGTGAGAGTTGGACTATAAGGAAAGTTGAGTGCCCCAGAATAGGTGCTTTCGAATTGTGGTGTTGGAGAAGACTTTTAAGAGTCCCTTGGACAGCAAAGAGATCAAGTCAGTCAATACTTAAAGAAATTAATTCAGGCTATTCACTGGAAAGTTAAATACTGAAGATGAAGCTTAAATACTTTGGCCACAGTGAGAAGATGGGACTCATTGGAAAAGACGTTGTTGCTGGGAAAGGTGAAAGACCAAAGGAAAATGGAATGGTGGAAGATGAGATGGATAGATAGTATCATGGAAATACTGAACATGAACCTAGATACACTTTGAGAGTTAGTAGAAGGTCCATGAGGTCATAAAGAGTCAGACACAACTGAACAACTGAACAACAACCATCTCTATCAGGGCAACTAGGTGGTACAGTGGATAGAGTGCTGGGCCTAAAGTCAGGAAGACTCATCTTCCTAAGTTCAGATCTGACCTCAGACACTCACTAGCTATGTTACCCTGGGCAAATCACTTAACCCCATTTGCCTCAGTTCCTCATCTGTAAAATGAGCTGGAGAAGGCAATGGCAAACCAGTCTGGTATCTCTGCCAAGAAAACCCCAAATAGGGTCATAAAGAGTTGGAAATGACTGAACAACTACAATCACCCTATTCAGATTCTGTCATCCACTGGCCTCTAGGGTACTATTCTCCATTCTTTCTCAAGGATTTGTGTATGGGGGCAGCTAGGTGGCGCAGTGGATACAGCACCAGCCGTGAAGTCATGGAGGACCTGAGTTCAAATCCGGCCTCAGACCAAACACTTGACACTTACTAGCTGTGTGACCCTGGGCAAGTCACTTAACCCCAATTGCCTAAAAGAAAAAAGAATAGGATTTGCGTATGTACCTGAGACACAGTTTTCCTCATTCCAACCTCTGCTCTAATACTTGGAAATTTCAGCATAGATTTTGATGTCCTCTCCAACACCCTAGCCTCTTAGTTCATCAGTTTCAATACCTGTATGTCTTTACACCATAAAAGTAACCCACAGGGATAGTTATATCTTGGATCTCATTACTATGCTACCTCCATGATCCTGAAAGTCTGAAGTTTCTCTCTGATCACAACTTTCTGACCCTCCATCTCTCTTTCTATTGCACCTCTCCTAAACCTGTTGAGAGAACAGGTTCTCCCAATCCATCACACCTTCTTTATCCTGACAATTACCATAATCTTGACCCTATAATTGATCAGTTCAGTCTCACACTGCCCCTTGCCCCCTTCACCTGTTCCCACCCATACATTGCCCCTGATTCTGGGTTATACCCACAATCTTCTTTCTTTGCTCCTACTCACATCCTGCTTTATGCCACTGGAGGGAGTTACTTAACCATGCTAACTGTGTCCTCCTCCTGGTGTGCCCTTGATCCCCTCCCCTTTCCTCTCCTCTGGTGAAAAGCTTCCTCCTTTGCTCATGAATCTTCCCTCTCTTATCTTCAGTCTCTACCCAGATACTGGCTCCTATACTGTTTCCTACACACATAGCCAGGCCTCCCTCAGTCTTAAAAAACCTTGCTTTACCCTGCCGTCCTTTCAAACTCTTCTCTCCCTTTCAAACAAAGTCCTAGAAAATGTCTTCTCCCTGTGACTCCAGCTTATTTCTTAGCTCCTTGATACCTGGCTTCTGACTCCATCAATTCAATTGAAACTCCTCTTTCCAGAGTCATCAGTGATCTCTTGGTTGGATGGGTTTTTCTCAGTCCTTCATCCTACTTGACTTCTCTACAGTTTTTAAATCTTCTCAACCACTCCCTCCCACAGTTTTCAGGATACTTCTTTCTTCAGCTTCTTCTCTTGTCTCAGGTTCCTTTCACGGATCATCATTAACTCCCCCCAACCATGAATAGTTCCCAAAGTTTTCTCCTGGGTCTCTTCTTTCCTCTCTCAACATTCTTTTCTTTAATTTCACCAGCACCCATGGGTTTAATTATCATCTATATGCAGATAACTCCCACATCTATAAATACAATTCTGATTCTAGTTTCATATTGCCAAAGATTCACCAGACATCTCCACCTGGATGTTCCATTAATATCTCAAGGTCAACATGTCCAAAACAGAACTCATTATCTTCCCTGTCCTATGACAATAGCCCCCTTATTGCTTCGCCTGTTTCCAATCTCTCCCTTCCCACATGCTACCATAATAATCTTCCTAAGGCATAGACATGACTATGTTACTTGCAGTAAAATCATCTGGGAATCTCTATTGCTCTTAAGATAAAACACCAATTCCTCAGTCTAGCCTCTAAAGCCTTCTACAATCTGGTACTGGACTAGCTTTCTAGACTTATTTCATGCACTCTACATTCCAGCCAAATAGGCCTCATAGTTCCCTGAACTGAACATTCCATCTCTTGTTTCTAGGCAGTGACACAAGTTGTCCTCAATTCCTGGTATGTGTTCCTTCCTCACCTCCAC